AACTTATGAGGTGTTTTTTATGTTACATTTGTTTTGGCTTATAATGTTTAATCGAAATTATGTAAAAATTTACTTTACAACAAAATAACTGAGCCGATTTCCGATAAACACGAGCAAGACATTAGAGAGAATAAAATAACTGTGAACACATTTTGTACTAAACTTTCTTACGATCCGAATTATGCACGCGAGTAAAATTGTAATTCTAGTTAGGTTTATCCGAATGATCTTATATACGTACAAATAAAGTGCTCTTTAGCGAATTCCATTGGAACAAAATCCGATTTCCTGAACAATAAACAAATAGAGGAAGATAAAACCCGTGAAACTTTATCTAGGTAACGACTTTTAAACAAATAAACAATGTTTGTACTGCAAACAATACCTAACTATCGAACGGTACATAGAAACAGGAAGGAATCGAGTGTTTATTAACATTGCTAAATACTAAAATAGAATCTGTTAAAATTATTAATTGAGTAAACACCTAAAGAAAATTTTACTAGAAAAAATTCCACGGGGACCAGGCAACAGACGGGACTCGAACGTCGCTATCCGGGCGAACATGTTCTCAGACGTAATATTTTTTTTATAAATGAATCCGAGACAATTTTTGGTATTCATTCAGACCATGTTCTCTATATTTTAAATGTACATAATTATCTCTATGTAGACAGATATAAGTATATGTTGTAAGTATATTTTTTTTCATTGCACTTCGAAGGACTGGTGGTATAAGAAAAACACTGAGTGAGCCAGATTCCACTATGCAGATCTTTAGGTATCTGTCAAATAGCAAAATACCAAACAAGACACGCTGTTTCGGAAACTCCTTCTACTAGCCTAGGGACCCATAATTTTTATCATTTATGTTAAATTGATGAGGAAATTTATTATTTGCATCAAATATTTAGTATGTTTGATTTATTATAGTGATAACTAATCACAGAATATAAGTCTAAAATATTATATTCAATAATGTTATTCTGTTTTTGGGGTTATGAACCGTTTCCTATATCAAGGTAAAGTTTAAAAAAATACGAAAATGTTAAACTATTTTAATTAGCCCTACTGATTAGTTGTTGGTTAATCAGTAAAAGGAAAAAAATATCCGAATGGCACTTTTTTATATGGCAGAGAAACTTTACTCTCGAGTTTTACCTTCATTTTAGTTACGTCACAAACGTGCTTGAGGCCCATTTGCACAAATCTAAAAGCTAATTCTCTTTAATCCTTATTTAATTTATATTTGACTTTAAACAATTGAAAAAGATGGAATTATGTTTTATCAAGATCATCATCATCATCATCAACCCAAGCTCGTCCATTGCTGGACATAGGTCTCCGCTAATGTATTCCACTGCTCCCCATTTTCTGCCAGTCTCATCCAGCCCACTCCAGCCAGCCTACGAATGTCATCATCCCATCTTGTTACAGGGCGTCCTACACTACATTTACCGAGTCGTGGTCTCCACTAAAGAACTTTCCGGCTCCAACGGCCGTCAGTTCTGCGGCTAATGTGATCAGCCCACTGCCACTTCAGTTTGCTAATTCGATGTACTATGTCGGTGACTTTGGTTCTTTGTCGGATTACATCATTTCTGATGCGGTCCTTCAGGGATACTCCGAGCATAGCCCTTTCCATATCTCTATAGACTTTAAACTGGTGGACTCGTCTAGCCGTGAGGGTCCACGTCTCGGCGCCGTATTTCATAACTGGGAGGACGCACTGATCGAGGACTTTCGACTTGAGACATTGAGGAACAGGTGACGAGAAGACTTGACGAAGCCTACGAAATGTTGCCCAGCCCAACTGAATTCTTCTATTGGCTTCTCTCTCGAAGTTGTTTCTGCCGAATCGTAGCTTTTGGCCTAGATAGACATAATCCTGAACAACCTCGGGAGGTACTCCATTAACAGCAACCAGTCCCGGATAAACGAGCTCATTGAACATGATCTTGGTTTTATCCAAGTACATCAGGAGACCGAAGCGTCTGTTTTATCAGGATTAACCTTTAATTTCAATCCAGAATGTTGGTCCAAATGGTCCTAAGTAAGTTCTAATCTTGTTAATTTCTAATGCTACAATTAAGCTTTAGTTGTTCAATGGTAAAGAAGCTACGAATTTAATTTTGTTTTGATCATTTCTGTGGTGAATCTATAATTAATTGCAACGTTGTATTTATTGCGTCATTGATTGATTAATTATAATCAGTTTCTGTCAATGCAATAGTACTATAATTTGAGATCTTTAGAATAATGCTGTTACTAATAGAACTAAATGTAGTTTATTGTGTAGCCATCAAATTATTCCAGAGTATGATTCCTTAGACACAGAACATATATTGACTTTAAAAGATTACAGCACTACTGAAATATCGCTCCATTTTCATGAGTTTTTGTAAGTTAACCTATAATACTATGAGAGATTTAAATTTGCAAATGCCAATAAATAGGTGGGTTTAGTTTACAAACAAAAATGTCGAAAAAATAATTATATTACCATAAAAAAGTGTTTAATTTTTTTTTGTTTACTGCATTTCATAGATATACATAATTATATAGTTCTCAGCATACTACTTATATTTTATCCCAAAAATGATTCGGATACTGTTAAAGTACTACATTTATGAACCCCGTCAAGTAAAAGGACAATGTTGCGTGCATGAGATTATATATGAACATGAGCTAGGTATTTATAGAATTAGTGAAATCATTACATAAATTTAAGTATGTAACTGTTTTCATTTCATGAAAACAAACAAGGTGAATAGCATTTCTGGCTGTGTCACTTATTATGTTTAAAATAATATGAACAATAGCTATAGGTTGTCCTTGGAATATTTGTCATAAAATTTCATATACATATTCATATTGAACCATTGAACCGTTACGCACCCATTAAGAATTTGCAAATTCTTGTAGAATTAAATTTTTTTCAAGGGAATAATATTTTACACTAGCGACCGCCCGCGACATCGTCCGTGTTCACTTTGGTTTTTTAAGAATCCAACAGTTACCTAACAATTTTAGGGGATAAAAAGTATCTTATGTCGCAATCAAAGTCATAAACTATATGCTTATCAAATTCATCCAAATCCGTTCAGAAGTTTATGCGTAATTGAGTAACAAACATCAACAACACACGAACATACAAAAACTCACATTTATAATATTAGCTGGATCTTAAAATGCTTTTTTTAGTCTGTAGATCGAATTGTTTTATTTTTATTAACAACTAGTGACCCTTGTGTCCAGCTTAAAATACCTCTTCATACAAACCTTCCATGAACATTATCTAACTAATGGTGAAAACCGCATCAAAATCCATTTCGAGCTTTAGGAGTTACAGAACTTACTTAAATATCTATAAACATGTTAAAATAATAGTTGAATGCCCTGTACTCGTATCTGGTTGAACCTCTGGAACATCTGATATAAAGTCCCAATTCATATATAATTTTTGGAATTCTTATCTAAGTCGCAAACGATAAAGAAGCTTGTTCATTGGCTTAAAAAATTAAAGAAAAACTTGACAAATTAAAGTAAACAAAAATTATAAAGTATGCCGCCGAAGCATGTGTCTGCCTATCTCATTAATTTTACAAAGATTAGAAATCTTGTGAACACGTCACGTCGGGAAATGGGAGATCACGCGAGGCGCAGAGACGCCACCCTGTTCAATTATTCATTATGAAAAATCTTGCGGTTAATAACTGGATTTCGTAACATTTATCTTTGTTAATTTACACTAAAGATTTATTTATAAACATTTTCCAATATGATATTAAACGCGTACAAATTCTCGGTTTCGGAACTTTTTTAGGACTTCAGGGTCTGTGGTCACGAGACAGACATGTTAGGGTCTGCAACTTATTATTAATCTTAAAATAATTGACAGTTTAGTGTTGATAGTGATTACAATATTTTTTTCCATTTTTATCCAAATAACACTATCTATCTTTTTTTTATCCAAAGCAATATTAACCAGTAAAGTTTTATTTATGGGTCGTTTCCTACGACAGCTGTGAATTTCTCCCTTTCCCTACTAAAACAATAGTAGGTATCTACCCAATTAAAATATTTTCACAATCGCTAATATGATGCATTTTAATTCTATGATAATATTATATAAAAACACTTTTATAACTTTTGTATCTTCAATACTTAATTAATATTATTTTCATTCATTCATTAATTATACTAATTTTGCTAATATTATTGATAATAGAGATTGGAAAACAATTTCTCACCTGCTGTACTCAGTGGTAAAAGTGTGTGCAGCTGAGGTTTTTTTTTATTTTTCTCATTAACCTTGAATAATATCGTAATAATATTTATAGTTTCAATTAATCGCGATGTATCAGCGTTTTGTAATGTGTGCTCAGGTGTTGCCGGTAATGTCGACAACAAATTCAAATGGACATTCAAATATTTTATCGATAAGTGGTAATAAATAATAATTTCAATAAATTTGTACAATGTAAAACATTATTGACTGTTAGTACACTCTTGAAATAAAATTTCTATCGGGCAACACTGTTTGTACGCTTTTGTTGATATTGCCATTATGTATTCATGAATATCAATTAACTATTGGTTGTAATTGTAAGGCAATGAAATACTTTTGCGTAAAATTATTCCTATGAATACGGCGTGTTTTAAAAAAACTTAAGAGTAGTATAAGGATTAAAATAATTAGTGCGATAACTTTTTCTCCCTTTATTGTATTTATTATTTAACACATACATATATAGAAAGTAAGTTCGTTAGAATTTCTTCCAACTCAAAAAACTTAAAAGCTTACACGGTCAATCAGCGTACAAGTAATCTCCGTTCAATTAACTCAACGCTCAACTTTCCGAACTTACAACATACAGTTAAGCGAACGGGAGAATTCGCAATTGCGACTTGAATTAATCCGATACGAAACTTAATAAAGTCATTAAAGAAATTAGATTAAACTAGTCCTAGTTTAAAAAATAGGCGCGTCGGCTCACCTGTTTAGATCTGTTTATCACTGAACACAAGTAACAATAAGCACAACACACACTCGTGTCACTTCACTCGCGGGTAGCACTATGCCGGCGTGCGCTTGCGTCGCTATATCGCCCCGTTATGTCGAGAGAGCACTTTGAAAGCGGCTGCGCCGATCCATGCGCCAAAGACTTGGTCGATAGTTCAGAAGAGACAATGTCGAGAAATAGGCGGAATACTACCTCCATTCACGATTCTTTCATGACAAATCTTAAGGGAACCACCTTAAGATTTGTCCACTAGGATCCCATGACTTGGGTCCTGTATGCTTCGTCCATTAGGATCCCATGACTTGGCTCCTATATCATTTTTCCAATAGGATTCCATAAGTTGGTACCCATATAGCAGCATAATTATGATTCATCCACTGAAATTCCATACGATCCAGAGATCAGGTTTGTAACAATTTCATTTAGCCTAATAAGCATATCTAAAACTTAATGAAGGAAATTAATTTCTAGAGAAACTTAAAATGTTGCGGTCTTTAAAGAATAAAAAAGCAAAAATAAAGTAAATAACATTATATTCACATTCACAAGGAAACTTATAAAATGAAGATTTCCATATCCCCAATTTAAGGTAGTTTATAGTCAATTTATCGCATTATGTACGAATTAGTAGATATTTAATCTGGTCCTCGTGCAATTTTTTCTAGTTATATTTTCTTTAGATATTTAATTTTTTTTGTTAGAGGCTGTTGTAAAGTATAGTAATTTCAGTTTCATGGATTTAAAATAAATGTGGTTCACACTGCCATCTCATTTTATGCGTCTTTTTATTTATCTGCAAATAATAGGAAATTATCAATATTATGTTATATTTCTATTTTAAGAAAAAACTGCAAGATTTTCCAAACCTCTTCCTTCCTGCTACCTGGATTAATTTGATCTTTTGGAATAAAAATTTAAGGTTACATTGCTTTTGGGTGTATTATGTAAAAGGCTGCCCTTTCTGGTTTACTGCTTCGTTACATAGCGAAATAACCTGTCTACGTTACTAATCTATGACGCGTCAGGTTATCAATGAAGATGGGAGACGTTATCGACTGTGATCGGGAGCGAAAGTGGACGGCCGCGGTAGGTTATGGTCTGTCCGTGGTCCGTGTCTCTGGCGGTATTGGTATGTGCACTTGTCCAACACTTGTTACTGTTGCTTATACTCTTACATACCTACATATAGACTTAATACTCTTACATACCTACACTTAACAGATTCTTTCTGACCTTCTTACATTTCATTCATATTTTTGACGACCTCCGTGGCCGAGTGGTTTATACGCCGGGTTTCATGGGTTTCTGGGGCAGATGTTTGTGTGATGAATACGAGCATTTGTGTACTCCAGTAATAGATGTTTAATATGTATTTCTATATGAATATACTTATATATGTATTCTATCCGTTACCCTAGCATCCCGTAACACAAGCCTTACAGTGCTTACTTTGGGGCTAGGTTAATTGGTGTGAGTGTTGGACATATTTATTTATTTATATACATTATGAGGTTTATGAACAGTGTTGAGTGTGGGTTACTTAATTTCATCGTAATAATCGTATTTTCGACTTATTGTAGTGGGCGACATGTTACTTAAAATGTCCACTGACTGCCACGCTATTCCATGTCACCGAAAATTAAGCTAAAGACTACATTGTAAGCAAACAATCATATCTTACTGAGTTTCTTGTATTATAATCGGACATCACTATATACCTATGTTTGAAATTTATTACCTACATGCATAATTATGGATTTTTCATAATTTGCTAATTATCAAAAATGTTACAATAATAATTTTCCTTATTTTGCGTTAATAAGAAATTTTAGGGCAGGTGATTGACATTTTAATAGTCTAAAATTGCTTCTTATCATGAAATTAGGTAACTCATACTCCTTTATAAAAAAATATTACTTAATCATACTTTTACAAACCAAAAGCTCACATAAATTTTAAATTTTGTTCCTTTACTTAAGTAAATTTAGATGACACGCTTAACTTTCCTTTTTAGAACTGCGTGGCAAAACACAAGATTTATTTGAACCATTTCCAAGAAACTTTACTGAATCATTCCGTAATCTCTAAAATAAAGAAAACTTTCTTTCTGGGCATCTCGAACAACCACAATTTTATTCGCGAAACGTGTAAGCAACCAAACAGCGAATATATGAGTTTAGTTAGATTGCAGTAAGTGGCCGACAGAGGCAGCGGAGCGGAGAGCGACGTGTTCAAAGACCCAAAACTGTATGCTCAATTGTGTAAAATAAAGTTAAAGCAGTTGCCTTTCTGCAAGGTGGGGGATGCTTCCTCTACAGGCGCTCTTATTTTCACCGTAAAAACCGCAATCTCATCAAATTAACCAGTCAAATATTAATACTATATCTACCGTAGTATCTACTAACTGTAGATTAGTAAATCTATACATATTATAAAATAGCAGGAAATTCAAAACTGTACATTGAATATTTATTTAAAAGTATACTTGGGGTGTGACCAACAATCGATACCGAAGCCAAAAATATATTTTTTTGAAATTTTGTCTGTTTGTCTGTATGTATGTCCGGAATAAACTCAAAAAGTTCTGCATGGATTTACTTCAAATTTGGCACGAATATTATTAAGAAGTCGGGTTAACATATAGGCTACATATTATCACGCTATCACCTACGGGGAACAAGCAGTGAACCTTTATTTCTAACTAACTCCACGCGTACGTAGTCGCGGGCGGCCGGGCGGCCGCTAGTGGATAAATAACTTTATACGCTGTCGCTTACGCCCCCCGCTGCCGCTGCGGCTTTCACCTTACCGTCAATACGTTGACGAGTTTCAAGCATTCCGCATTCGGAGCTCATCCTTTATGACCTTGAGACGCGCTTCTCATACAGAGTTAAAGGGAAATGTGCATATCCTGTTGACTTGTTTATGTGACCGAAGGATTAAGTTAAAGGGAAATGTGCATATCCTGTTGACTTGTTTATGTGGATTTATGCGGCAAGGTCGGAGAGAGAAAATAATGCAAATCTGTTAGAAAAGTCGCGGTCTCTAGTCTCTGGCGGCTAGCTCTCGTAGAAAGCTTTGGCGGTAATAGAATTGATTATAGTGCATATTAGTATTATGGGGTATCAGGTATGTTTGTTATTATCATAAGTCCTTTTTTAATTTTATTATTAAAAAGTTATCAATTGATTATATTTTTCCATAATGAATATCGACCAAGTGCTTTTTATGCCAAGCGCAATGTAACATTCCGAGGTTGTATTCTACACTTCACTTAAATTGTACTGTACACCTTAAAATTTCAGAAAGGTATCATTTAATAGAAAAAATGTTTTAGAAAATTCCTAATAGGATTACAAAAATACGTTATATTTTACAAGTAGGATAAGTAAGAAATCGAAGGAATTTGTTATATTCATACATACCTTATTACTTGTGTACTTGTAATGTAATGTGCATATTTAGAATAATAACATTAGACTTAACAAAAAACTAAGAAACTTATCACGTCCAGAAGAATGTGATTTTTTCCTTCTTCAACGACAAATAGTATAAATAAAAGGAGTGCCCCAATAGATTCTCCTTTAATTTTTACTATTCGTCATTGTAGCAGTAATGGAAATAACTTAGGTTCTGATAAAAATTTAAACTATCTACCTGTTGTCAACCATCCGTTGGACACGGGCCTCGTAAAAAATGATTTAAAATAAAATAGGAAATATAGGTGCAATATATTCCGGAACGAGGAAAGAATGTCGTTGAAGTCTTTTCTATGGCACAAGGAAAGTTGTGTTCTAAATTATATTGAATTTGATCCTTTGTGTCTATCATTATTTCTAACTTTGTCGCTTGAAGTTTAGATGTATTTTCATTATAAGAATGACATATTGGTTTTAGTAGGTACAAAAAAAAGGACGTGAGTATATTTATTTGATAACAATAATCTTTATTCTCTGTGCACACAATAATGTCTTATGCTTGGATATTATAAGCTTGAATGACAAATTATGCTTTTGTTAGTATTATTGTTAGTGTAGAGGAGCTCGATGGTGCGGGTGGTTAGCGGGTTCGGCTGCGATCGTTGAAGTTAAGCAACTTTCGCAGTGGTCAGTCATTGGATGGGTGATCAAAAATCTTCTATCTCGAGTTCCTCCGTGCTTCGGAAGGCACGTTAAACCGTTGGTCCCGGCTGCATCTGCGGTCGTTATCACCCGCCAATCCGCACTGGGCCTGCGTGGTGGGTCATAGGCCAATCTCCCTATTCCATCCATAGGGAACGCGTGTTCCCAGCAGTGGTGACATTAATAGGCTGATAATGTTGTTAATTTTGCATTCTTATAAAAGAGCATATGAGATGAAATATCGACTATTTTCGCCATTCAAGTGGATTCCTGAATGACTTTCTTTAAGGAAGACTTGCAACTTATTTGCTTGTAATTGTGTGTGAATGCCTGTAAAAGTAGACTAACGTCAGTGTGTGCGTGTCAGTAATGACCCTTTGTTCTGAGCCGACTCCTTGTATAAGTGCGGTACTTTATAAACATACCACCATACTAGATGCTTCATATCAAAAAATATGAATGACATATAAATATATGAAACAAATATAGCCATGCTAGCTAATCCATATAAAAATTAGTGGGTCGCTGTTCCTCATGTCAGAAACTATTATGCATACATGCAGAATTCATAGAGTATTTCAATATGCATGTCATGTATTAACATTATTTATTTCGATAAAAATTACGTCATTTGTTATGAGCATAATGTTTTGCGCTGCAAAGTAGGTATGTTCCACTATCCCGAATTAGATATGATTCCAAGTTACAACACCCACGGATTTGATAAGTCATGCATTTAATAATAGCCGTCTGGACAAATACTTAAATGGAATATAAACATCAACATATATATATATATATATATTAAAATAGGTGTCTACAATATTAAGATTTTTTTTACATGAATCAGTGATGTCCTTAAGATAGGAAAAAGTACAATAGGTAAATAATTATGTTTTACGAGTCAAATAGTCGAAAAATTAAATATTTAATGTAATACCATTGAAAAATGAGGCTCTTGATGGCGCAGGTGGCTAGCGAGTTCTGGTCAGTCGATCATGGAATGGGTAACAAAAACTTATTATCAAAAATCTCGTCCTTGTGTTTGGGAAGGCAAGTTGAGCCGTTGGTCCCGGCGGCATCTGCAGTCGTTAACACCCACCAATCCGCACTGGACACACGTGGTAGGTCACGGCCCCATCTTCCTATTCCATCAATAAAGAAGGCCTGTGCCCCAGCAGTGATGACATTAATGATAATATGATGATGATGATGACCATTGAGAATTTTACACGCGCATTCGATACGAGTGTTATTTTCGGTATCGCAAGCGTCTAAAGACTATCATCAGGAGGGTTATACGCATGTTTGTCACCCTTTTAAAGTAAATAAAGTAAGAAAATAGTTTGGAAAACAAGACAATAACTTAATGGGGGTAAGCGGCCGCATAGCATAATAACAGGCGCTTGCTATATAGGTCGCGGCACGTAACTCAAGCGCTGAACAAAACGCGGAGGAGATAGCTGCGCATGGTTACGACTGGAGAGCCAATCGGCGCAACGCACGCCCACCCGCGCACCTCATTTCCCCCCAAGACATCGTATTTTTTACTTCTGCGCAATAACAGTCACCGCTGGAGTTTCGAGCCGCGACTTATACCGCACAGTATCACTCCCGCGGTGTTTAACCCACAACCATATCCGCGATCAACCCGTGATGAACTTATTTATTTATTTATTCTTTATGCACAAATGTACAATGGCGGACTTAATGCCGTAGGCATTCTCTACCAGTCAACCATAGGATGTTGTGGAGATTATTAGTGGTAGGGTGCACAACTGAAGTGGAAATCACATTGAAAGAAAGTTTATAAATATAATAATATACAAAACATACACGAACATAAGTTAATATATTTAAATAAATACACAAATACATATATACTTCCTTAATAATGAAAAAATGAAAATAATGGCGACAAACCACTCAACGAAACGCCTGTTCTTATAAAAAGCTTCGCAGTTTGGTTTTAAAGGTATATTTACTGAGGGACATTCTGATATCTAGC